TAACCTTTATTTTTCTTAACTAATTTTCTGTTTTCTTTAATAAATCTTTCTTAATTTAAGTTGCTGGGAGATTCTTTGGGGTTGGAGATAAACTTGTTCTCCTCGAGTTTGAATTCTTGTAGTGTATTTTTTAATTTAAGGGGTTTCATGATGTTCAGAAGAAAATTGTAATCCATTTTCTTGAGGTTTGAATAACTTAATGGAGTATTATTTATGTACCATTTTATACAACTTCCACATAATCTTGATTTATGTTTTGATCCATTTATGGAGAGAGGTTACAGTTATTTTAGTTATAGAATGTGTACTTTCAAAATTTTCTTTCTTTTTTTTTTATTCGGAGCTTTGCCCCAACTAATCCGTTGGTCGATTCGGGTCGCGCACCTGACAATGGTGGATGAGTCGCCCTACAAGGATTTTCTGCATTCACAATGACTCAAACCCGAGACCTTGCTTAACGAATTCAAGTTGTACTACTTGAGCCACATGTTGGTCAAAATATTCTTAGACTTAACTTCTATGATCTCTTGACAAGTCTATGGATCGTCACTATTGTTCTTTCTTCTTAATATTTGCTTTTTTGCATTTTATAAATGTTTGGCAAACAGCTTCTTTTTCATTGTACAAGTAAAACTAAGAAATGAAGAGAAAACAAGCAACATAGGGACTTTGTCACCACCGTTTCTCACTACAGACATATTACTCGATCCCATCAAAAGCAGTCGAGGTACGGTGAAACTAACCGGACGATTCTTTCCGATAGACCTTGTAAAGACACCATTTCCCCTTTTGGTTTATTGTAACCGATGACCCAACACAACCTCGTGCGGTAGACCAGGCCAAAAAACACGAGTCGGCAGCTGGAAATCGTCACTAGTGGACACGATCTTCTCACCAAACTCTTCCATCCCATAATCTTCTTCGCCCAAACCATATAGAAACGGATGGCGCAAAAGCGACTCGGCAGTCCCTCTACAAACTGGATCAAGCTCAAAACAACACTCCAAAAAGTCCCTCGCATGAAACGATATCTCTCTAGGAATGTATGGCATCCGTTCTGCCCTTATCCTTGCAAGAACTTCCTTTTCCTTCCCATTCCACGGTGCCTTCCCAGTCAGCATCACAAGCACGATGCACCCCACAGCCCAAATATCACTCGGTGCCTCTTGCGTGTTACGTGTCACAGCCTCGGGCGATAGATACAACGTCGTACCCCTCGCGTAGGGAATAGAACCCTTCTTCTTGGCCAGACCAAAGTCTCCAATTTTCGCCCTAAACTGATCCCCAACTTTTCCACCGGAACCAGACACGAGCAGAATATTTTCCGGCTTCAGATCACAGTGCACATACCCGAGCGCATGAATGCGTTCAAGACCTCTGAGAATGAACCTCGTGTGCGTCTTCACCTCGATTTCGGGCAATTTTATGCCGCGCGATGTACGAATCCTGTCGAGTATGGTCCCGCCGGATGCGTACTCGAGCAAGAGATTGTAATAAGTCGACCCGCCTTCATCACCACTGACAGTGGTCTCGTTGCCAAGGCATTGGATCACGTAAGGACAGCCGATGAAGTTGCTCAGTATCTCCTTCTCTGCCCGAAGGGTGCGCGAAAGGGAAAACCCGGCGGATTTCACGGCTAGCTCAGCGGGGAAAGGGCGGCCGTCTTTTGTTTTAGAATATGGGAATCTCGGAAAAGCCTTGTAAACGCGGCCGCAGCCACCTTTCCCCAATAAAGGACCCCTTATCCATGCGCCGCTCTCTCCATAGTCATGAATCTCAGCCTTTTCTCCACTACGCATTATCGTCATTATGAACAGATAGAAAAGTGATGGTGACGAGTTAACGGAAAACTTATAGTAATTAATCGACTTTACTCCAAATCCTTTTTGATTTAGGAGTAAGTTACCGTGATACCAAAGCATTATCCGTGTATTAGACGGTTCGTTAATATTTATACTTTTAATTTATTAAAAATAAAAAATAAAACTTTTACCACGTACCCATCTTACATTATCATAATTATTTTAACTCGTATTATATATATAATATTTTTTACTTATATAATACTTTTTACAGATAAATTTATTTAAATGATAAATAATTTTATTATTTTCCACTATTATCAATAGATAACTTTTATTTTATTACAAAGATATAAAATTATTTATTTTATGTACGTAATATGGAAGTCATCTAAAATCTATCGTCAAAAAATGATTATTTTAATGTATCATATATAAAAATTCAAATACAACAGTCATTAATTTTAAATTATATTTATAATTTAAGTTAGTAAAGTGTTTTATAATTCTTAGGAGGGATGAAGACCAGATCTACATGGACTATTTCGAAAACCTCACAAAATAAAACATATGATTACAAGCTTCGTATGTAGAATTATGAAGAACCAGAAATCGACATATATGCTCGGGGAGTTTACATTAATATATACTAGTACACTACCCGACACGAGTAATAGTTAAAAAAGTTATATTGAAATTTCAAAATAAATGTAAAAGATAACTTTTTTTTATTATTTAAATTTCAAATATTGATTTAAAATTGCAATCTTAATTATATTTAAAATGGGGCTCCCTTTGCATAGTGATATACGCATATATGTGGACGAAGAAATATTCTAAGTACGTGAAGCTTGACCAGAGTGGAGATCGAGCTCTCAAGAGTCAAGGATTATTAAGGTAGTTGAACGACCTTACCCTCGGACGACCTATAAGTAATGACCTATAGGACAACGACCTATGGCTATGACAACAACCTAATCCTTAAGCGACCTAGGGACCTCTACACGAAATTGTCAGACGGCTTGAACAACTATAGACCTAATACAACTTGACCTCCACTGTCAGGAGATGACCTATGAAGAGATCACAACTTGAACTAGCACGGAACAAGGATAAGAAAGAATCATAGGAAGATAAGACATATTGAATCCAAAGGTGACTAGCAGATGATTAGGATTTGGATAAGCATTAAGTCTAGGCAGTCGAGCAGGCTACCCGCGGGGAGTCGGGCAGAGCATTTCGGGTAGGTATTTCCTTATAAAAAGGACCGAGGCATCACCAAACCAAACTTTACATTCTATATACCTTACATACTACTCTGAGATTATAGAGCATCATCTTCTTTTTTTTGTTGACCTAAGCATTGGAGGCTTTTCACTGGAATCAACTCCGACATTGAGTTATTGCAGCTGGAATCAACTCCGACATTGAGTTATTGCAGGTCTACGCGCGGCGGATTAGACAGATTAGAGCTCTTCTTAATCGGTTCTACCCAGATCCAATTAGTGACCTATCATTTGGTGCGTCTGTGTAGAGTTTTTGAAGGAACTAAGAGCTTCTCACCAAATTCCAATCGCTTGAGATTGCTGAGAGACAAGGCGTACAGAGGAACTTGAGTGAAGTTTAGAGGAACATGAACAGACAGGAGACCTCCTGTGGTTCCTAGCCTTAAGCCTACGATTTTTATGTTGAGGCTACCGTCGTTCGGTGGCGCTTTTGGAAGAGGAAATGCCAGTTACCCGACTAGGAGCAAAGATCTAGGTATTGACTTGGAAAAGAGCCAATCAATTACTACATCCAATCCCTACAGAGGATGAGCAAGAGTTAAAGAGAAAACTTGAAGTGCGTGCAGGAAGAGAAGTCGGGGGATTGCAGAGGCGTGAGGAAGAGACGTTTTGGTTGCAACAACGACGACCTGATGATCAGATTACCACTCTTACTCCGACTGAACTACATAAAATGATTACGGAGGATGTAGCAGCTCGACCCAAACAAGCACAACATACACATTCGACGGAGCAACACCATACCAATCGAAGAGGGAAATATAAAGAATCTTAGGTCAAAACCATCAATCAACAAACAAATGATGATATATTTGAGAAATTAATGGCCTAAGAGTGCGACCTACAGACGAAGGTCGAGGGAAAAAAAAGATGGTAGCTCTAGGGGTCATCCTTTCTTACAGGAGATCTTGGATGCAGACCTTCCCCAAGGATTCAAGGAGCTCAACTTAGGCATCTCTGGAGTTTTGAATACATGGTCGTGTTGCATAGGTTCAGTGATACAGTTCGATGCAAAGAATTTCTAGACACTTTATAAGGGCTTGACAAGATTGGTTTTATCAACTTGTACCAGGAGTTATACAGGATTTCGAGGGATTCATCTCAAGCTTCATTAATCAGTTCGCACGTGTTAAGCACATGAAATGACTTGCTTCACTTTGATTGGGATGAAACAAAAAGAGAATGAGTCATTGCGGAATTATATAGCTCGGTATACTTGGGCCTGTGTGGATGTCTCTTCGGCATCGGAGGAGATCAAGTCAGGAGGACTAGCCAAAGAATTGCGACCTAAGTTATGCAGGAATTCTTTAGCCAAACGACCTGCCAGGAAATTTGACGAAGTATTGGCATGGTGTCCAAAGTACATGAATATTGAAGAAGTGGAAACCAACTTTTTACAAACTAAGTTGGCCAAGGTATAGAGGTGATGGAGGACAAGAAGGAAAAAAAAACATAGCATGACTGGTGAGAAAAGTGTACAAAGAGGCTAGAAAGATTGGAGAAATGACCTCTAAAAGGAGGCTCGAGGTACGTCCAATATACACACCTAGCAACTTCTCAAGCTAGGATTTTGGAGGTTATGGAAAAGAAGGTGCATGAGAGTATGGTGACATGGCAAAAAAAAGAAAGGAAGGACCTACTCGACCTAAGAACAACTTGTATTGTAGGTTTTATAAGGACTATGGACATACCAAAGATCAATGTCGACACTTAAAGAACGAGATGGAACGGTTGATAAGGGCAGGGCACCTTAAAAAGTTCATTTATAAATAGTAATAAAAGGAACAAGAGTACCAACGGGGATTCCAATCGGACAAGGAACGCATATGCTAGAGGTCATAAAAGTGAAGTACCACAAGTAGCGGAATGATGACCAATGAAGAACTTTGGACCACCAGATGTAGGAGAGGTCGAGGGGCCACACAATGATGCTTTAGTAGTGACAGCAGAGGTCACTGAGTATGAAGTTCAAAAGGTGTTTATGGACACAGGGAGTTTTATCGACGTATTTTTCTATGACAGTCTAAAAGGATGACATTGAATGTTGAACTTACACCACTACACACAACCTTTATGGGTCTAATGGAGCATTGGTCGTCCCAATTGAAGAGATAACACTACCAGTGGTGCTGGGGCAGAGTGACCTAGGAAGGTGAAATTGAATAGGTTCGTGGTGGTGGATGTGGAGTTAGCTTATAATGTGATCTCTTTCCAAGGTTCAAATCGTCGGGAACTAGTTCATTCCAGCGAACTGATCAGTCAATTGAATGATTCTCGGTTCAATCGGTTGGACTGGCTGGTCCGGTTCAATTTTCTAAGTCATACATATTACACATGAAGTCTTATTTTTCCGTAAATGAGCATTCGCAAGTTTTCTGTCGGGATCTCCTCCCAACGTATTGCAGGTCACCGGAGCTCAAAGAGATGGGAAGCGGTCCAACCCATTTTGAGATGAAAGTGACACAATAGACTAGTATCTATAACGTTTAGTTTGTTTGTGCTTATTTGATGAATAAATTTGTTAATGAGTATTTGTCCAATACTCCATTATATAACTTATGCATATTAAATGTGGGTCTGGTGTTTGACGAATGTCAAAATGGTACAAAATTTATTTATTCTAATTGGACGTTTTTTATTTTTATATTTGTTTTGTATGTAAGTGCTTATCAAGTAATCATCTAGTACGTAACAAATGTTAAAGTGATTCCTAATCATATAGTTAAATTTACAGACACCCTTTCACTTGAATAGAATTGAAGGCCTTGACACTTGACAGCATTGTAGTTGTCTTTATGCATTTGATATGGTGATATCTCTCTCTGTCTTCTGTGGGCACAGGAATGAACTATGAGGTTTGAATAATCATGTCAAAAATAAATCCAAATTAGATATAAAATCAACTCATAATGCATGCTGGACTGTTTTGTAGTTGCATATTATGCTTTTCAAAAGAAAAACTCTTCAGTAACAGACTGCAAATATACAATTTCCAAAACAGCAAACTGTGATGGAAAAAGAAAAAACTTTATTTATTAACAAAATTCTCAAAAACCCTTACAATGCACTCAAATATTCAAATTAGACACCACCAACTCGTACACAATACATAGCAAAACCCACACTAGAAAAACAGTGAAACAACCAAACATAACATCAAGCCTTATTCTCATTAAACCACAGACTCTTTAATCAACTTCCTCAATCTTAGGACCAGCACCAGTAGCCCCACCACCCGTACTGCCGCCATAGCCACCAGCTCCGGGCATCTCACCCGCAGATGGCGGCACATCCCCACCTGCATATATCTTCGAAATAATCGGATTACACAGATTCTCCAACTCCTTCAGTTTATCCTCAAACTCCTCCACCTCAGCCAATTGATTCCTATCCAACCACTCGATCGTCTCATCAACAGCCTTCTCGATCGTCTGCTTATCCGAACCCAACTTAGAACCAATCTTCTCATCCTTCACAGTATTCCTCATGTTGTAAGCATAATTCTCCAGAGCATTCTTGGCCTCGACCTTTTTCTTCACGGCCTCATCCTCAGCCTTGTACCTCTCGGCCTCCTGCACCATCTTCTCTATCTCGTCCTTGCTCAGCCTCCCCTTGTCATTGGTGATGGTAATCTTGTTCTTGACCCCAGCCGTCTTATCCTCAGCCGACACATTCAGAATCCCATTTGCATCGATATCGAAACACACGTTGATCTGAGGAACTCCCCTCGGTGCCGGAGGAATGCCCTTGAGCTCGAACTTTCCGAGCAGATTGTTGTCCTTCGTCATCGGACGCTCCCCTTCATACACCTGGATCAAAACCCCGGGCTGATTGTCCGCGTAAGTCGAGAAAATCTGCTCCTTTTTAGTCGGGACAGTTGTGTTCCTCGGGATCAGGACAGTCATAACACCTCCAGCTGTCTCGATCCCAAGGCTGAGAGGGGTGACATCCAATAGAAGCAAGTCCTGAACCTTCTCATCACCTTCCCCGCTCAGAATCGCTGCCTGTACAGCTGCCCCATAAGCCACAGCTTCGTCTGGATTGATGCTCTTGCAGAGTTCCTTCCCGTTGAAGAAATCCTGCAACAGCTGCTGGACTTTGGGAATTCTGGTGGATCCACCAACAAGAACCACGTCATGAACATGGCTCTTGTCGATCTTGGCATCCCTCAGGCATTTCTCGACAGGCTCCATACATTTCCTGAACAGATCCATATTCAGTTCCTCAAACCTGGCCCTTGTGATGGTGGCATAGAAATCGATGCCCTCGTAAAGAGAGTCGATCTCAATGGTCGTCTGTGTGGTGGAGGACAATGTCCGTTTTGCCCTCTCGCAGGCCGTCCTCAACCGCCTGAGAGCTCGGGCGTTGCCAGAAATGTCCTTCTTGTGCTTCCTTTTGAACTCCGCAGCAAAGTGGTTTACGAGACGGTTGTCAAAATCCTCACCACCCAGGTGGGTATCTCCGGCAGTGGCCTTCACCTCGAAAATACCTTCCTCAATTGTCAGCAAAGATACATCAAAGGTCCCACCACCAAGATCGAATATCAACACGTTCTTCTCCCCGCTTCTAGAAGCCTTCTTATCCAGACCATAAGCAATGGCGGCGGCAGTTGGCTCGTTTATAATTCTCATCACGTTCAGCCCTGCAATTGCGCCGGCGTCCTTGGTGGCCTGACGCTGAGAATCATTGAAATAAGCAGGCACCGTCACAACGGCGTTTTTGATGGTCTGACCCAAGAAGGCCTCGGCGACTTCTTTCATCTTAGTGAGGACCATGGACGAGATCTCCTCTGGAGCGAAGAGCTTGTCCTCGCCCTTGTACTGGACCTGAATCATGGGCTTGTCACCAGGCCCGGGGACCAACTTGAAGGGCCAGAGCTTCATGTCGGCCTGTACGGATGGGTCCGAGAAACGGCGGCCGATGAGACGCTTGGCGTCGAATACGGTGTTGACTGGGTTCATGGCGACCTGGTTCTTGGCGGCGTCCCCGATGAGTCGCTCAGTGTCGGTGAAGGCAACGTAGGAAGGGGTGGTCCGGTTGCCCTGGTCGTTGGGGATAATCTCGACTCGGTCGTTCTGCCACACGCCCACGCAGCTGTAGGTCGTGCCGAGGTCGATGCCGATCGCCTTGCCTTCACTTTTCGCCATAGCTACAGAACTTGGATTGATTTGTTGAAGTTTGATTGAGCAAGTTTTGAGTGAATGGTGTTTGTTTTTCTTTTCGGCTTTGTTTTGTCTGCTGTGATTGTGATTGTGAACAAGGGGAAGGAAGTGGCTGGCTTATATAGGACTCGGAGTATGTGCTTGAATTGATTGGACATTTCCAGGTTGTTCAGGAAAATTTCAGAGACGACCAGAATTTTCAGCGTGAAAGAAAAAATGGAGCTTGTGGGGGTACACCAGAGGATTCTGGAGAAGGGGGAGGAAAGTCATGAAATGGGCCTTCTTTATCAATGGGCTCTGGGAGTGGGTTTTAATTTACTAGTTGGGTATAATCTTATTCGGGCTCGTTTACTTTCACAATTTATGATATGATCTAGGGGATATCTCATCTCATTATTTATACTTTGTTTATAATACAGTGACGGGTGTCTGAACAGAAAATTAATTCTACGACAAAGAATGAAAAATAAATAAAATTCTTATTGTGAAATACAAATTATTTAAATCTCCCTATATATATTATTCCAGAATGCGCTGAGCTTACGTAGCTGCTTCTGGTGCTTCGAAATCCTACTTGGCAAAGAATCATGCTTTGTAATTAGGTTTGAACAAATAATATCGATATATTAATAATTAATAATTTAGGTTTGGACATTCCATAAATATTATTTAGCTAACGTAGGTATTTTAATATCACTTGTACTAATATGACCCTTTATTTCTTTGTAATTTTACATATTGAGGCACTAAGTGACTAATATATCCCTGACTTTTGATTTGTTTTCTTCAATTAGCTATTGAATTATAAATGTATTTTAAAAGTCGATAACTTTTGTATTTCATATCGGTTTTACATATATAATATATCAAATTAATCATCTTTTGATGATCTTCGATTTGACATCCATATTTATGTATGAAATAAATAAATTATATTTATATTTATAATAATAAAAAATAATTATATTTATTAAAATTATTAGAAAATAAAATTATTTCTCAATTGATATATTTATGCTTAATGTAGTTATATGCTGTAAGTTAAAAAAAAAATTATTATAATATAACACATGTAAGTTGCACAAATACAAAGTGTCATATTAAATATATAATAATATATATATTTTTATAAAAGGTATTTAAATTTTTCCAACTACTATTTTTCATTAATTTTAGATTTAAAAAAAAAAATTAGCATGCACCCGTGTAATATACGGGCGTTGTACTAGTAATTAATAATAAAGTAAATGAATTTGTAATATTATTTTAAATTCTAGAAAATATTTTATTTGAAATATTATTTATTTTATTTAAGATATATTCATTTTGTTTCAAGTTAAATAGAATTGTAAGAAACTGGGGGAAAACGAGTGCGGTCCCACTAACATAACATGAAGCACAATGGAGAAAACCCATATGAAGTCCAAGTGGGGTTCCATCCCAAAACCAATTGGTGGAAGGAGGAGTAGCCCATTAGACTTATAAGGTAGGTCTATTTTTCATGTATGAACGATGTGGGATAACACACAAGTGATATTCTAACAAGAATAATTCATTTATTATGCAGTTAATCTTGACTCTTTTTTGGTATTTTTCGATCGTTCTGATCTAATAATTATGATGCATTCTTATTTGTTTCAATGACCATCATTGTTACTAGAATCTATCCATATATATAGTAGTTTTGTTTTATAGAATAAAAAATAATGTAATTTCAAAACTATGTATAACATAATACAACTAATTCTTTAAAAATTTTGTAGGCAATAGTTGACAATGACCTCCTTTGACCGGTTTAAATGTCTTTCCTTTTTATCTTTTCATTTTCTTACATAAACAAAGACAGACAGTGATGTAATACCCACCCGGGCACCAACTGGCTGAGACAACATGAAAAAAAAGCAGTATTTCTTTTGCTTTTCTTTGCCATCCTTCTTGGCAAATATATTTTCTTCTAAAAATGGTGATACCATTCCAGTTTGCATGTGCTCTCATCTCATGCATGAACCATGATGAGCTTTTTCACAGACCGAATTACCGTATTTAAACAGTTTCCCGGCTTTCGCTTATCCTCTTAACGTCTTCCGAGTCTTTAATATAGTTGAAGCCAATCGCACGAGGCCAATGAACAATCAAGACGAGCAGCCAAGCATGGAAATGAATGTTCCGATAGTTGAGTCTTACATCACAGAGTTTTCCACATTTGGAAGGATATGAATGCTAACTTCATGTCCTGTGTCGCCTGCTAACTTGTATCAGAAGACGGAAAAGAAAATAACCGTAATTACAGAAAGGCCACCATGTTTGGGACACGATTTATTGAATTCGTGTTTTAACCTGCGATGAATAATAATGATTTGCCTTTGAATCTCGGATCGGCCAAGATTGAACAGAACAAAGCATTTTCTTTCTGGAAGATAAAGTCATATGAAACCCATTATATACTGCAATCACCTCTTGGAGGTTATTTGAAGTGTCCGCGAGATAGTCCCCATCAAGTTGAACCACGAAAACCAAAATTCTAGGAGACTGTCGCTTTTCATCTACATGGTAAATTCACACACAGAGCAAGATGCAAAACTTAAAAAGCATTAGAACAAAGGACAAAGTGCAGCAGATCGTTTTTATGGCTGCTATACTGAGCAGTGTTGTAGAAATCGGACGAATATCTGTAATAAGATAATCAACTTAAGAGTCAAATTATCCGGACTAAGAGAATCGGACTGATGATAGACAATGAATTCACGCAAAATGACCGAAAAAAAACGTGATGCGCGCTTATGGAAATAACCAACATTCGTTCCACTATTTCCTAACATAGGAGATGAATCTAATAACAGTACTTTAGAACTCAGAGAACTGATAATGTACACTCCAAATTGACGTGCAGGAAAGGGCAAAATGAAATAAAAACATTCATAAATGTAGAAAAAGTATTACAAATATATATGCCCAGAACAATAACACATATATATATATTCACTGAAATTCAGACCTGTTTCAGTTACACACTTACACAACAGAGTATATAGCTGGTCAATGAAGAGTTGAAACTACAAACAACAAATCAAAGGACAATCAACTCTATTTCTCACTACTTCTGTACTTGGCTCACCAATATAAACATTACTGGACTCCAGTTGAAATGGTAAAACTAGCCCGACAATGTTGCCAGTCTTTTAGTTATAACCTGAGGTACACCAGCATCTGTACGCGAGCTGGTTATGCCTTCTCTTTCAACAACTTCAGGTTCTTTCTCCCTGGACAAATCAGACCAATACGAAGACGGCCCATCCGACTCGTCTGCAAAAAAGTCTTCACCAATCTCCTCACTTTCATACTCCACCTCTGCAGACTCAATCTCATTCAGACATTCAAAACCATCAGACTTTTCCAATGCATTATCCTCATCATCATCATCAACACTAGCCATGTCTTCAAGAAACGGATGATCTAAAAGCATCTCACAAGTGAACCTATACATCGATTTCCTCACGAGACAACGCTTTAAAAAATCCCGAGCATCCTCCGACAACTTATCAGGAATTCTGGGAAGTTCATTAGCAGCCCTAATCTTTTCAAGAATTTGATTGGCATTTTTCTCGTCCCACGCGGGCTTACCCGTTAACATCTCGAGCACAATGCACCCGACAGCCCACACATCAGACGGCGCCTCTTGTATGCTCTCGACCACAGCTTCGGGTGACAGGTAAGTGGGTGTGCCCCGCCAGTAACAGGGCTCCATAAACTTTCTCTTCCTCGACTCCCATTTCCCTCTCTTTGCCAAGCCGAAATCACCGATTTTCGGAGTGAACCCTGCGAATTTCGCACCTTTTCCAGCTGTTCTGTGCACGAGTAGTATGTTATCAGGCTTCATATCGCAATGCACGTACCCAGCTGCGTGAATGTGATTCAAGCCTCTAAGAATAGACCTCGTATGTGACCGAACTTCAAGTTCGGGCAACCCTTTGCCGCCCGATTTCTCGATCCTACCGGCTAAGGTCCCGCCGGAGCCATATTCCAACAACAGATTATAAGCCATGATGCCGTTGTCACCCACGGTCGTCTCTTCTCCGAAACACTTAATCAAATACGGACTGGAATTCAAATTGCTCATTACCTCCCTTTCTTTCTGAATTGTGCCCGAACGAGAGATTTCAGCCGACTTGACCGCCATCACAGCCGGGAAGCAGCTGTATTTTGATCTGGGATTTTTCAGAGTCGCCGTGTAAACCCGCCCAAAACTCCCCTTTCCGATGATTGGACCCCTAATCCATGCAACCCCGTCGCCATATTCATTCACAGTCTTTTCCCGAACGGCCCCGTTTTCCTTTCCCGCCATTGCCTGTTCACGAGCAATGCACGAAGGCGAAAGTGCGGAGTTCGTCTCCTTCGATTCTCTTCAAATTTGGGGCAACGAAGCAAACAGCGCTGGAATTCCCAAACTCGAACGAATACTGAGGAAATTCAGAAGAGGATTGACTTAGGGTTCACAAGAAAAAAGCGAGTGATCGTGAGGTTTTACAGAAAAACAATAAAACAAGAGCGTTTGCTTGAGAGGACAATAAAAACTGCTGTTACTGCGCAAAGACGAAGCAGAAGAAAATGAGAAGAGCTATTGTGAGAGTACCAAATATAAACAACAATAACAGGAATAACTGTCATTTGTCGTCCTCCATGGAACCTTGATTGCTTTGCAGAAAATGGCAACCTAATTCAATTCGACACAGCTTTGCTCCTCCCTCCTTGAGCTGTGATGTTCCGCTGATTTATACTCAATACATACATACATCATACATGTGTGAAAATGGCAATGAGTTATTATTTATATATATATAAAATTTCATTTTTATTTATTTATTTATTTTTATTTATTTTTGAGAAAATGTAATGACTATAGGATGACGCCAATTTAGAAGGTTATGAATTTTGTAAGATAAATCATAAGTATGTGTTATTGTACTCGAGAGTCGAGTGAGTCGAGTCGAGTGGCCTATACTCGAGCTCGTGTTCGTTCAGTAATTGAGTGGAGTTGTTACAATTAGCGAAAACTCGGTTTGACTCTCTTAATAAATTTAAAATTTATAGTTGCTTGCGAATAAATGGAGACAGATTGTTTTTAGGCTCAAAGTGGTTTAGTAAACTAGCTCGATTAGCTGTTTGAGCTTAAATTGTTTTATATCAAACTCTAACTTTCATTAGACGAATCGAATGATGTCCACAAACGAGTCAATTCTAATAACACGATGACCCAAATTTTGAGTTAATGAAGTTTATAATATTTACAAGCGTATTAAAACTTAATTCTAAGTCAATTCTAATAACATTCTATTTTCTGCTTAATTTCTAGTATTTTTCATCACGATTATACTTTTAGTTAAAGCACATCGAAGTAAATAATAAATATAACTATATAAATGATACAAAGTAAGACTGCTAACTGTAAAATAAAATTGTGGAACTCAATTATCACATGGGAAATGCTATAATCTCGTTATGGAACCATTTCGTTGGAAATTGTAACCATTAGATCATCATGTAGCTTTGTGGATAGTTGATCCAACGGTTACCGACTCCGATGGAATGAATCCATAACGGGACTGTAGAATCTCCCATGAACATTGGCTAACAGTTAAACATTTTTGCATTACATATAATCCGAAAGACCTTTGTGGGTGAAGATTTATTGCTTCACATTTGAGAAGAACATCATCATCCTATTGATAATTTCACAATATCATGGCACTTTATGCTATTAGTTGAAATTTTTATAAGCTAAACATGCATAATTGATCATTACTCCATATGTATGAACAACAATACATCAACTAATGACGAATGAGAGTACAGTTTCATCAACAAGCACCGAATATGGATGAATCTAATCAACACTTCCTCTAGCTATCATCTCCAGTAAGTAAATATATTGTCCTATCTAATTTCAATTCACAAGTAACCTCATAAAATTCACTGCAGGACCATTAATACTCTGACCAACCGCATTGTGTCGTCCGTATCTCGAGGGCACCTCGCTTCCAACAGAAGAATAGCATGAGGGCTCGTCGCTCGAATCCGAATCCGAATCCGAATCCAAATCCAAATTTGAATCAAAGGAGCCAATATTAATATTGTCACAGCTTAACTCGTCGTCCACATCACTCTCGAACTCAAACACGTCCACCGACCCACAATCCTCCTCAAACTCATAGTCATCGTCACTACCCAACCCATCGAGAAACGGGTGTTCCAATAGGAGGTCGGCCGTCAAACGGTACAGGGGCTTCCTCTCGAAACAGCACCTGAGAAAATGCCGCGCGTCCTTTGACACCTTCTTGGGAATTTTTGGAATTTCCGACTCCGTCCCTATCTTTGCCAGGATCTCCTCATTGTCCCTCCCTTCCCACGGCTCCTTCCCCGTCAGCATCCTCAGCACCACACAGCCGAGCGCCCAAATATCGGACACCGCCTCTTGCTCGCTGCCCATCACGGTTTCAGGGGACAGATACATAGGGGTTCCCCGCCAGCTGCAAGAATTAGCCTCCCATAATTTCCTCTTCTTGCAGTTGGACCGCTTTGCCCTTTTTGCCAGGCCGAAATCTCCGATTTTTGCCTTGAACTCGGTTTGACCGGTTATTCTTTTTCTGGGTCGAGGCACGAGTAGAATATTGTCGGGCTTTAGATCACAGTGGATGTATCCCGACATGTGGATGTGATTCAGGCCTCTGAGGAGGGACCGTGTGTGCATCTTCACCTCGTACACCGGCAGCCCGTCGCCACCGAATTTGTTCATTCGGTCGCCTAGGGTCCCGCCGCCGGCGTACTCCAGAAGCAGATTGTACGCCATCTTGCCGCCTTCTCCCTGGGTCAACTCGTCGCCGAAGCACTGGATCAGCTGGGGACACGGGAGCAACCCGGTCATCATGTGCTTCTCCATCTGGAGAGTGTCGGAATAAGAAACGTCGGCGGACTTCACAGCCATCTCCGGCGGGAGGCAGCTGTACTCAGAGCGGCCGTCCTTGAGCGTCGCCTTGTACACGCGCGAGTAAGCCCCTTTTCCCAAGAGCGGGCCTCGGGCCCACGAAACTCCGTCTCCGAATTCGTTTTCAGGAGGTAGCTCGTCGTCTATTTTCATGGCCATTCTTCTTGCTCTGCTTCGCAAAACGCAGAAAATAAAACAAAGGATTGATATGATTGAGTGATGATACGCAGAAAAAAGAAAGAAATAATTACTTTCAGCATGTGTGGTGAACACGAAATTAATAAGCTAATTGGTGAGATAAATGGGGCATTCTATTTGTCCTTTGAGGTTTAGGAGAAGCTTGACTCTCAAGGTTTTAGAATTGAAAATACAATTTATTTTTTCAATAAAAAATACTCCTATATTTTCACCAAGTATACGACTTTTGTTGTCAATAAATAAATAATTTACTGTACCAAAAAATAAATAAATAAATAATTTAGAAAAAAAAAACACAATAATATTCGATTTCATTTTTTGTTTAGGTGAATCAATTATAACAATTTTTAATCAGGATAATTTCACTATTGGATCTAAATTAATCACACGTTTATGCGGCTCGAGTTTAGATTATTATTTTATTTAGATATCGAGTAACATCCGTATGTTTGTTTGTGTTGTTTGAAAATGGGATAAGTCTATAATCGTCCTCTTCTCTAGTTTTATGTGGGCACGAGTTAATATGTCCACCAACTGATGTGACATGAGATTAACATACCATAAACGGTGTGTATGATATTCAAGGACCACGAGATCCTGACACGTGGTTGGTGAGCACATTTTAATGTGCCCATGTTGCGGACATTAAGAGTTTATTCAGTTGTTCGTCTGCATAAAAGTAATTTGTCACTATACTAGCTTCGCTTATCCGAATAATCTCATCCCAAACTACAATAGAGATTGAGAGAACGGTAGATGGCGCGTATCGCATATAATGGACGTATATCATGCTTCCTAAGTATCCAAGAGCAAACATCCTCCTCAGTTGTGGTGTAGTCACTCTCCATGTGAAAGTTAATAAACGAGTGATAATATTCAAGTAGCACTCGAGATGGATGATTAAACTTTAACTGATTAGTGATTATCATCTTTGTACAAATCACTAGTACAAAAAACACATTCTAGGGGTTACTTTTTACATCGGGTGCAACATACTCGATGTAAAAAGTAAGACGATGGCATTTTTGTAATAAAATGACTGTTATGTATATGTAGTTCTAGTAACCTCATATAGAAACCCAATGTCCATCAAAATTACATAGGGTCATTTTCCACCCCATATGAAATATAAATTATCTATATGTAGTTAAACACTCACCACATATAAAAACTCAATAAATCAAATATATCATAAATCAAAATTACACAAGGTAATACTAGGGTAAACATAATTTCTTACTAATCTGACTATTCACTTTCCGCTCAGCCTCCACCTTTGCGCGCTGTGAGAAAAATTTCCATCTGTCGTGAAGTTGCAGACCCCGACGCTTCGGTCCGCCGTGAAATTCCAGTCGCCGCTCCGTCGTTCCAGCCCCGCCTCTGCGCACCGTGAACAAAACTTCAGTCTGCCGCGAAGGTCCAAACCTTGTTTCCGTCCACCTTGAATTTTCAACCGCCACCTCTGTCTTTTCAACCCTGCCTCTGCGCGCCGTGAACACGTTCGGTTCCAACCTTCACTTCCATCCGTCAGTGAAGTTTCAGCCCCCACTTCAGTCCGGCGTGAAGTTACAGTCCCCGCCTCTATCACGCTTGTCTTTCCTTCCGCCTCCGCCACCGGCACCGCCGAGACAGAAACCTCTGCCGTAAGTTTCCATACTTCTCAATTCTATGCCTACGTTGAGTTTTTTCAGAATAGTTATTGTTAGATGTTTTTTTTAGATTATGTAGTTGAATTGAGTGAACAAAGTATATGGCAAAGTTTGTTGAATTAAATGTTTTTTTTCTTTTTTCTCCCCCTTTGTTTCTCAACTGATTCAACAATTGCACTGCTATGTCTTTTTTTTTTTTTTGGGTTTCTGGAACATAGCATAGTTAATAATTGTTCTCTGAATGAGTAATTTCATAGTTATTGGTTATTTGCATTATAATATTATGTCTACATGTGCATTCTTCTTCTAGGACCTTAAGTTTTAGAATTTGAGTCTAAAAATTATATATTGGCTTATGGTGAAAGTGTTGAGATTGATGCATTTGGATTTAGGAAAGAGAGGTGTAAGGATTTTAAATGACTCCATTGCAGATAGTTTTGGGATCAACCTAATTGACTCCCAGCGTAGTTGAATATATGGAACTTAATGATTTGAAATTCATTACTTTAGAACAGAAGAGGTTTATCATAAATTTAATTTTAGTTTATAACCCTCGTGTCCATATAGAAGGATCTCCTCACTTGAGATATATTGTTTTTCACATACTTAGGTAGTGTTTGTTATTTATGGTTTTTCAATTAGGTGTTTGATTTGGAAGAAGCATACTTGGAAGAAGAAATTGATGATATACAGAGACGGTGGACCAAGTATTTTCTCGATATCACCTCATTGGCAAAGTAATATATAGGCTTTTGTTTGGAATATTTGGTTTATGTTGAACTATTTGAGTTTTATAGTATTGTTAGCTTTTTGGGAAATGTTAAACTACGTTGGTGTTATCGATAATGAACTAATTTTAGTAAATTTCTGTTATTTTTATTTATTTAGTTGTATTGATGGTACATTTGGTCTCACTTAAACAGGTGTAAAAAAGCGTGATAAAGTACGGTATAAAAAAAATTATATCGGTAAAAAATACAACACATACAATCTTACATCTTTTATATTGGTTTAAAAACAACACATAGAATCTGATATTCTATATCGGGTTCGATGTCCAACCCATATAAAAAGATATTTTTTATATGGGGTTATTCATTCACCTGATATAGAAAACACATTTTCTATATCGGGTATCTATAATCCGACTTTCCAGGTGTCTCTTCTAGATGGGGTGATTCATTCACCCCATATAAAAAGTTTACTTCCTATATGTGGTATCACCCGATATAAAAAGCTACCACTTATTATATGGGCTGAAACTATATCGAAGTTGAAACCGATATAAAAAGTCATTTTTACCCGATATAAAAAGCATTTTTTCCACTAGTGAATCGAAGAGAATTTTGGTGAACAAATTGTCCGCCATATTTTTCCATCACATTGAATAAATATTTATCTTACAACACGAGTGAGAACAAACAATGTATCCATGGAAAAAATTAAAAAAAAAAAAAGAAAAAAAAAAAGAAATGTGTAATATATTGTTTTTCAATATATTCTTTAAGTGATAGTATGAAAAAATGACAATGATAGAATATGTATTGTAGATTCGGGAAATGTTCATTCACCTGCCCAACATGGGTACATTAAGATGTGATTGTCAATCATATGTCAAAATTTGTGGTCTTTGAATACCATACACACCGTGTATGGTATGCTAATCATTTGCCACATCAGTTGGTGTGCATATTAACACTAGAGAAGATGACTATTCTACATTTATTCTGTTTTCAAACAAACAACATAAATATTTATACAAACATTCAAATGTTACTCGGAACCTAAATAATAATCTAGAATCAAGTCGCGGATAAATGTCTGATTAATTTAGATCCAATAATGGAATCATCCTATATTCTATTAAAGTTGTTATAATCGATTCACTTAAACAAAATATGAATTCCAATATAATAGCTTTTTTCAATAGATTATTTATATAAGATCATTATAGAAACATGGGTCAAACCTTTATTGTTTATTTATTTATTGTCAATTACAAAGTCGTATACTACTTGCAAAAAATAAAAATAAAAAAATAAAAAAATAAAATTGTCGTATACTTATTAGTGAAAATATAAGAGTATTTTTGATGAAAAAATAAATGTATTTTCAATTTTAAAAGTATATATTATTCTTTTTAATTATTATTTTTTATTTATTTTTAATTTTTTTTAAAAAATGGAGGATCAAGCAAAAAACGGTTATATTCCAAAACCTTGAGACTCAAGCAAAAACGCAATCTTGTGACTTTCTCCTAAACCTCAAAGGACTGATAGGATAGGAAGCCGCCATTTATCTCACCAATTAGCTTATTAATTTCGTGTTCTTCATAATTCTTTCCAAGATATATCAATCCCTGTGTTTTA